TAGCATCATCACCACATGGTTACCCCCAGTGTCCACAACAACAGAACAAATACTATATAAAGTTCTGCAATGCAAAGAGCCACCTTCCTGCTGTTCTGATTTTCTCTGGCCTAATCACACAGAGGGGCAGGCCTCAAGTTGCTCATGGGGTCCAAATCACCAGATCTCCATGGGACAAGGGCTCCGACTCTAAACGTGAACAGGCTGCTCAGGAATTTAGAACCTAGGAGTAAAGGAAACGCCTCTTAAATTGAAGGGAGTTCACAGAGAAGCTTCCAGAAAGGCTCTAGTTCCATCCTTTACTCCTGGTTCTTTGTTGTTTTTTTAACCAGTCCAGGAAGGAAATAACATCCAGTGTCTTTGGCAGATTATCAGAAGAGGGCCACCAAGGAGGAAGGAAAGTCAAAACACAGTCATACCTTTTTCCTCATCTTGGTGCCCCGATCTGCTATTGAATTCTTTTCACCAGAGTTTGTTGTATTAGTTTGCTTGGTAGTTCACAACAAACTCCCACAAACTGGGTGGTTTCAACAACAGAAATGTATTGTCTCAGAGTTTTAGAGGCTAGAAGTCTGAAGCCAAGGTGTGAGCAGGGCTGGTTCCTTCTGAGGGCTGTGAGGGAAGGATCTGTTCCAGGTCTCTCTCCTTGGCTTGTAGACGGCCGTCTTCATGTTCACATGGTCTTCCCTTTATGGGTGTCTGTCTCCAAATTTCCTCTTTTCGTAAGGACATCAATCATATTACCTCTGTAAAGATCCTATACAGGTCACATCCAAATAGTCACATTCTGAGGTACTGAGGCTAGGACTTCAACATATGACCTTGTGGGGACACAATTCAACCCATAACACTTGTTCTCTGCCTATGGCTGTTAGTTTCCCTTCACTGTAGATGCAATAAAACAGTATCATAGGAAACTGGTATTTCTGTAGTGCTTTATGTTTTTCAAGGGAGATGATAATCTCCTGGATGGAAGGAACCTCATCTATTTACCTTGAATACCCTAGAGCAGGAGTCCCCAACCCCCGGCCACAGACTGGTACCAGTCCACGGCCTGTTAGGAACCGGGCCACACATGAGTGGCCGGTGAGTGAGTGAAGCTGCGTCTGCTGCCGCCCATCGCTCCCCATCACGCGCGTTACCGCCTGACCATCCCCCCACATCTGTGGAAAAACTGTCTTCCACGAAACCGCTCCCTGGTGCCAAAAAGGTTGGGGACTGCTGCCCTAGAGCAGTGCCTTGTCCGTGACACTCAATAAATAAATGTTTGTGGAATGGACCAGTCATCCTCTCATTTTATACTTTCCCCATCTCTCTAAATATTTTCTTGAGCCCCTAATCAGAGGTAGCATCCAAGGGATTGCTATGCTTTGCTTGGTTCAACCCAAGGTTCAAGCAGATGAAACCAATACAAAGGAGACCCTAAACACCACGGCAAGTCCTGCTCTGAATCCCTACATCAAATACAATGGGCATTTCTTTTAGGTGATGTTCCACAAGGAGAAAAAAGGCAAATATTTTAGTTCAGTTCTGGTAACACACAGATCTATTTCTGTTTCCTGTCCGACTCCATGCATATGAGGACTTTCTACACCAGGAAGGCAATTTGGTTCAGAAATGTTTTCTTTCATTTAGGGTTCTGTTTGTTTGTTTAGGTTTTCTGAACTTTCAGATCACTGATTGCGCCAAATAATTAAACCATAAATCTGGCATTTTATGCATGTAGATTACATCTTTTCAAAGTTGTTTTTATATGTGGAGTTTATCTGAAGCAAATGTACAGGCAAGGAGAAACCCCTGGACTTATTGCCAATAGAGCTGGGCTCTTATGAAACCCCAGATGTCATGTAATTTATTTCTACAGTGTAGAATAGATGGATAAAGCCAATGGTTTGTTTTCCATGAGGCTTTGAGGGGTACTATACCTTAAAGGGGTTAACACAGACACAGGTCTGGAATTTCAAAGATTAATTCTGCCATGTTGGATCAAGCCCAGGAAAAACCAGCCTCCGAGTTAGGTGATGTTGAGAGTTATGTTCATTACCCTTTATAGCTCAGAGTCATCCTTCTCTACCAAAGGGACATAACTCTCAAGTAAAATAGATGATCAATTCCTTAGTGATACTGCTTCCTAAGAAGCAAACAAACTGGTACACGGAGTGAGAATAAAGGGATGCGGGCCCTTACTGTTGGGTAGAGGAAGGTTTTTTTTTTTTTTTAAAGAAGATAACATTTAAGCTGAGATCTAAAGAGCAAGAAGCCAGCTGTATGAAGCTCAATTTACAGCCTTAGTGATGGATAAGACGAAGGCAAGTAGGGGTGAGGGAGAGGGAGAAATCATGTAGGACTCCCAGGCGTCTGTCTTGTGCACCTGGCTTGGCGGTGCTAATGTTCCCAGAGATCGCAGAAAGTGGGGAGCAGAGGACTGAAGGAAAGTCAAAGGTTACGCTTTGGGTATGTCATGTTTGTGATGACTGTGAGAATTCCAAGGGGAGATGTCAAGTAGATATGGATGCATCAGGATCCTGGCTGGAAACCAGGATAATTCGAGGAGAGTTTAATAGGAGGACTATTTACAAAGGTGTGAGCAGAGTTTAGGACAAGCAAAGAGAGATGGTGTGGTACATCTTGAAGCTAGTAACCATGCATAGGCTTGAAACAGCAAGTGAAAGGGGCAGTAACTGGTAGAGAGAGAGACAGAGAGAGACAGCGCTGGTTAGATGGAGAGGGCCTTCTGGTAGGCGCCGTGGCCCTCAATAGAGAGATGCAGTCTGAGGTGAACCACAAAGAAGGAGCTAGGTACTAAATTCATTGACCTCACTCTCCTCCTGCCTTTCAACCTTCTGCTGGAAACTTCTATTGGCCTAACCCAGTTGAAGTGAGAGAGTCTGTTGATGTAGCCCACAAAGGTCAAAGTGCCAAGGGCACAGAGGAGGGTCAACAAGAGTAGAGAGTGGTTCTAGAAGGACAAACAAAATATACAACACAAGGCAGTTGGATATACTGAGCTCTATTAATGGCAAAGTAAAGTGGTGCAACCTCTATGGAAACAGCATGACAGTTCCTCAAAAAAGTAAAAACAGAATTATGACCCAGGGTCTTGAAGAGATCTTTGTACACCTGTGCTCACAGCAGCATTATTCATGATTGCCAAACAGTAGAGGCAACCTGAGTATCCACCAGCAGGCAAATGGATGAACAAAATGCGATGTATACATATTTAGCCTTGAATAGGAATGAAATTCTGACACATGCTATAACATGGGTGAACCTTGAGGACATTATGCTCAGTGAAATAAGCAGTCACAAAAAAGAAATACTATATGATTCCACTTATATGAGGTACCTGGAGTAGTCAAATTCATAAAGACAGAAAGTAGAAATGTTGTTGCCAGGGGCTGAGGGGAGGAAGAAAGAGGGGGATGGAGAAATGTTGCTAAATAGTATAGGGTTTTAGTTTTGCAAGATGAAAAACATTCTGGAGATTGGTGTCACAACAATGTGAACGCACTCAACCCTACTGCACTGTGCACTTACAAAGGGTTAAGAAGGGGACTTCCCTGGTGGCGCAGTGGTTAACAATCCTCCTGCCGATGCAGGGGATACAGGTTCGAGTCCTGGTCTGGGAAGATCCCACATGCCGCGGAGCAACTAAGTTCATGCGCCACAACTACTGAGCCTGCGCTCTAGACACTGCGAGCTACAACTACTGAGCCCACGTGCCACAACTACTGAAGCCCGTGCGCTATAGGGCCCGTGCTCCACAACAAGAGAAGCCACCGCAATGAGAAGCCGAGCACCACAACGAAAAGTAGCCCCTGCTCGCTGCTACTAGAGAAAGCCTGCGCACAGCAACAAGACCCAACGCAGCCAAAAATAAATAAATAAATTTATTAAGAAAAAGGGTTAAGATGATAAATTTTATGTTACATGTATTTTACCACAAATTAAAAATTAAAACATTTTATAATTTTGTTTTACTTCATTTAAAAATATCAACTGAACATCTTTTCATATCGAACATTTTTTGGTACTACCTTAGCAGTTACATAATAGTTGATTTTATTATTGCATATCTTATTTAATCAAATCACTGTTTTTTGAAATTTAGGTTTTCTACAAAACCAAACATCATAAACAAACTGCAATGGACAGTGCTTAGCTACCTCTTTGACACACGTGCAATTATTTCCCTAGAATAAATTCCTAGAATGGAATTGCTGGGTCAAAGGAGAATACGGCTGTGTCAGGGGTGAGACTGGGGTGGGAAATGCAATATGAAAGCTGAAATATGAAAACCAGTCAACAGAGACCTGAAGTGGGGTGCGATATAAATTAAGTGCTATATAAATATTTCTGATTGGAAAAGGAAATGTGATTTACTCATTCATTTATTCCTTATATAAAATGTACTGAGACTCTGCCATGCACCACGGTTCTAGACACTGTGATGTCACGTTGTCCTATTAAACACTCTCTTATCTCTCAAGGAACTTAAAGACTAGGGAAGAGAGAAACAAGTAAATCACCAATTTCAGTGCAGCTTGGTACATGAGGGAAGGGAGAGATGCCCAAGGGCTAATGCAAGGAGAAGAGGAAGTTCACCAATCAGGGGAGGCTTCTCCATGGAACTAGCTGTGTGTCAGTGCGCAGGGTTTTGAGGGACAAGTCACAGTTATTCAGACTTCGAAAGTGGATAACCACATAGCATAGCCCACCTCCAAGATGGCGCCCAATGACCCTCACCTGCTGGTATTTGTGCCCTCATGTAGCCCCCTCCCACAATGGATCAGGGCTGTTCTGAGCGCCCAATAGAGAACGATGGAGACGACAGTGTGTGAACTCTGAGGCTAGATTATAAAAAGCACTGCAATTTCCCTCTTGCTCTACTGGATTGCATGCTCTGGAGGAAGTCAGTGCCCGAGCCATTCAAGCAGCCCTGTGAAGAGGCCCATGTGAAAAGGAACTGAGGCCTCCCACCAACAGGCAGTGCAACTTACCAGTCAGGTGACTAAGCCCTCTCAGCAGGGAATCCTCCAGCAGCAGTGGTGACTGCAGCCCTGGCCAACATCTTAACTGTGGTCTCACGAGGCAACCTAAGCCAGAACCGAGAGTCATATAAGCGATTACTGGTTTTGTAAGCCATGAAAAAGTTCTCGGGGATTTGCTTCTTGGCAATAGTTAATTTAATATACCACGTATCAAGCAGAGCTTAAGATGTCTAAAAATGGGAGATATTTGGAGTGACCCGAGAGAAGGTTACATGTGGGGAAAGCGCAGGAGCTGGAGCTGGAGAGGAAAGCAGGGCTAGATTATTCCTGGCCGTGGTACACTCTGCCATCCTCCCCTTCCTCCTTGCCAGCGGAACTAACCTTGTTGACGTGTTAGGTGGCCATGTGGATGAGGTCACACTGCAAGGATGCGTGTTAACAAGGTCAGTGGGCTGAGGGTAAGGCCTTGGTTGGGGGAAAGCCCTCCAAGGGTGAGCAGAGGCAGAAAATTACAAACGCCCAAGAAAGAGTGACCAATGAAGTAGGAAAGAAAAGGAGAAAGTGGAGTTCCAAAAGTTAGACTTTCAAAAAAGGGGGAAGGTTGATGGCGTCAAAGGAAACAAAGAAATCTAACAAAGAGACTTCCCTGGCAGTCCAGTGGTTAAGACTCTCTGCTTCCACTACAGGGGATGCGGGGATGAGGGTTCGATCTCCGGTTGGGAACTAAGATCCCTCCTGCCGCGTGCACAGAGCAGCCAAAAAAAATTTTAAAGAAAGAAAATAACAAGGCCCGAGAATTGGGCACTGGAAGGGTCACCATGGCAGCCCCTGTGTCCTTTGTTGGGACTGTGGGAGCTTCAAAACACTGGGTCCGACCCTCTGACTCTGGTAAAACCCCTCACCTCTCTATCTCACCCCTTTGTCTCCTCCCATTTTCTCTTTTCTTCGCTTCCCATTGGCCATCTGGCCTCTTCCCTGCTCCCACCTTAAATGTCTTTGCTTTTTGCCTCTCAGTGCTTGGAAGAGTTTCCCCACAAAGGTCCACACTGCTCTCTCCTTCACCACCTTCAGGCTGACGCCCCTGTCGTCTTCCACGTGCCTGAGTTGGAACCTCCCATCCCCACTGACACACATTCTCTATTCCGTCCTCCCCCCTCTTGCTCCCCCTACTGATCACTCTACAGGCCACATCTTTTACTTGATGGTGCTCATTGCATCTCCCCTTCTCTAGGGTGTCAGCTCCAGGAGTTTGAACTGTATTCCCAGAACCCAGCACTCAAGTGTTCTTTAAATATCAGTTAAATGCTGCAAAAACAAGGCACAGTTCCTGTTTTCAGGACTCGTGACCTCCAACCAAAGTGTGACAGCTGCTACCTTTGAGGCAGGCACGAAGCACTAAGAGGGCTCCAAGGAAAGAATGACAGAGGAAGTAACTTCTGAGCAGAGAATACAGGAGCAGGGGAGGTGGAAAGTGAAAGGGACATCATATTCTGATGCGTCCGGACCATGGGGTGGGAGTGGAGGCGGGGCGTGATTGAGACCAGACTGTAAAAGGCTTGGAGACAAGCACACTAAACAGCCTTACCTTTATCCTACAGGCCAGAGATGTTCAAACTGTCCCCTGCGGAGCCAGGCCACTCGATGCATTCCAGCCTCCACTGCTTTACATATCGGGCTTCTGGTTAGTCCTTCTTTTGAAGGCTTCAGTTCCACCACCAGACTTTGAAAACCATCTCTGTTGGTAATGGAAACTGTGGTCTTAAAGAACCACCACGTGCAAGTAGTATCAATCACTCCCTTTGATTGAGGGCAGGCAAGGCCGAGGGGGGGGTAGGGGGGCGTGAGAACGTGCAGGTTTTCGGACTCAGCTTTGACAGCAGTGGGGCGTAGGAACCGAGCTTGGGCTTTGAGTAGAGCTCGCACTTTATCAAGGCTCAGCAAAGGACAGCGGTGGAGCAGACCTGCCTTCCACGCACGTAACACACAAGTCCCGCTGCCTCGGGGCGCACCTGCGGTTAGCCCCTGTTGCACTCCCCGCTTCCCAAGAGATGAAGCAACTCGCTAAAGACACACCCTCACTTGCTGGCGAAGGGGGGGTTAGCTCTCCCAGCTCTGCCGTTTTTAATGCATTGTTTCAAGTCCTAAGCCACCAGATAAAAATAGTGTAACGGCTGGAGTGAGTGAGGCAAGGGCAAAGAACGAGGGGGCGGAGGGGCGGGAGCGAGGCGGGTAAGCAAGGGAGTGCGGGGGGGACTGGGCCGGTTCCATTAGGACCAAACCCGCTTCCTTATCTGCAAAACCGGAGAAACTCGTGCTCTCTGAGCCACCTGCTCATTCGGTGACACTTCTTTGCTTTCAAAAAGTGTATCAGATACACGAATGTGCCAGATTCCCATTTTTCTGTCAATTTCTAGGAAAATACAGCTAAGGGAAGGAAAGGAGGAGTTTTCCCTTCCTGTATCACACCCATAACTCAAAGTGCTGACCTTCAGGAGTCCGCGCGGTGCGAGGCTGGCGCGGAGCGGACTGACTGCCTAGTGGCTACGTGACTGCGCGCTCGCCGCGCCCCTCGACGCCCGGGACGCGTGCCGCGGGCTGGCTCCGCCCCGGCGACCGGGCGAGGAGGGGCGGATCCCCTCGCCCTCCCCCTCCTCCCCCGCCCCCCTCCCCGCCTCCTGCGCAACTCCTGGCGTCCAAGTCGGGGGAGCGTGCCATGCAGACGCACTTCCAGACGCACGCACCTCCCCCTCCTTCCTGTATCCAAGACGCACAATGTCGGCAGCCCTGAGTCTTGGCTTCCTGGTTCATAGACTCACGACTTGGTGAGGCTCCCTGAGGGCCCTTCCAGCTGCTCTAAGGTCTGAGGCTGTGGTTTCATGAATGATGCTTTTCCACTCTGCAAACATTAATGAGACCATATCTGTGAAGTGCCGTGAGTTCCTTGGGATAAAAGTGCTGATTAATTTGTCATTCATTGCTTATAAAATCCACTAAAAATGGCATTTTAAAATCAACATTTACTTAGATATAACAACCTTCCTGTACAGCTTGCCAAATACTTTAAACATCAGGCTGGGATCTGAATCATTACTTCATTTTTACGGATGAGGTGAAACATTGTTTCTTATAATAGTAATCATCATGATATCATTATTACTGAAAGTGGTCCATTCTGAGTGAAAAACATAAATTGCTAAATACATGGATCTCTGAGAAACTCTCCTGGAGCCACTTTCAAAGAACGCTCCCCATCTGACCTTAAACAAAAGGAAAGGGCAAAGCGATGTTATCTTTTAAGTCAGGAAAATAAACAGAGTTTTCTATTTTCTTCCCTCTTTTGTAAGCACTGACATTTGAGAGGTTTCTCACCAGCACGTGAGCCTAAGCAAGGCTGGGGCCATCTGGGGGGCCACCTAACTGTATAAGTTGTGAGGCAATGGAAAGGGGGGCTGCGGTTTTTCGGGAAATATCTTCCTGCTCTTTTATTGGTTGCGTGGCGTCGTCTCCCTGACCCCTGAAAATGAGGCAGGGTAGAAAGGAATGAGATTTGTCGGTATCTACTTGCTCCCTTAGTGAGGCTTGGGTGATGAATGTCCAAGGAACCCCAAGGGTAGAGGTCAAGCTGCCTAACTGGTCTGGTGTGGGCGTGGTGAGGGTGATAAAGGAATCCCATCTGCAGAGCCCCTTGCATGCAGTTTAACCTGTACTGCAGGCCTAGGAGACAGACTGCCATGATTCTCTCTGTGGCATAAAGCCCAGGAAAGTTCCCTCAAGTAAAACAGCTGGGAAGTCACACAACCAGCTTTCAAATCCAGCTATCTGAACTCCAGCTTCAGAACTGTCTCCTTGTACTCCAAAGACACAGATGTCATGAATGTTCTCATGCATCATAAAAGTGTTGTTCCTGGGATGGCAGAGACTACGGGGGAGTGAGATGTGGGTCTCTCCAATCTACCATGATCTGGCTTCAAAGCAGTGGGATTCATGGAAAATAAGGCTACACAGCAGTAATTGGCAGACTATGGTCCATGGGCCAAATCCAGCCCGTCACTGGTTTTTGTGTGGCCAGCAAGTTAAAACTGGATTTTACATTTTTTAATAGTTTAGCGGGGAAATGAAAGAATAATATTTTGTGGCATATAAAAAATTATGTGAAATTCAAGTTTCCATGTTCACAAAGGAAATTTTATTGGAATGCAGCCATGCTCATTGCTTGCATACCGTCTATGGCTGCTTTCGCATTACAAATGCAGAGCTGAATGGAATCGATGTTCTGTAAATCAGCAATACTGAACCATTGCCCCTAAGGGAAATACAGGGTTAATTTCCTGCAAGTCTCTGGTCACAACATTTTTGTTAACAGATCAATACATAACCTTATTTTATGTATTTCTGTTTAAAGAAACTTTATTTCAATATATATTGTTCATTCATTAAGGCTGAACTCATGACCAACTGGGGTGTAACTCATGCTTGGACAAAACTTATGTAACTCATGAACTTTCCCCTTTTAAAGCACATCACAGCGTTCTTACACATAGGAACACTAGACAGCACTTCAGAGCACTACACTTGGGGGCCGTTTTAAACAGCAAAATCACTCACAAAACGCAATAAACGTGACACTAAATAGATCCCAAAAAGGATGTTTGTGTACAGTGTGAGAGCTGAAATACGAAGGCAGAAGTTTGCCTTGTTCACCCTCAGTGCTGGGAACATGGGTGTCAGGTGACTCGCATTTTTTGCTGCTCTGCCCACACGTGACTGCCAAAGCACCAAAGGTATTGATTTGGGGGTTACAGGTAAATGTTAGCGAGTAGGGGGCTTCCCTGGTGGCGCAGTGGTTGAGAGTCCGCCTGCCGATGCAGGGGACACGGGTTCGTGACCCGGTCCGGGAAGATCCCACATGCCGCGGAGCGGCTGGGCCCGTGAGCCATGGCTGCTGAGCCTGTGCGTCCGGGGCCTGTGCTCCGCAACGGGAGAGGCCACAAAAGAGAGAGGCCCGCGAACAAAAAAAAAAAAAAAAAAAAAAAAAAAAAATGTTTAGTGAGTAGGCACATTCACAAATACGGAACCCAAGAATAATAAAAATCAACTCTACTCGCAACAAAGACCACATGGCCTGCACAAGCTAAAGTATTCACTGTGTGGCCCTTTACAAAAACAGTCTGCCATCTCCTGCTCACCAGTATTCTCAGCCTTCGCCTGAAGAGAGTTAAACAGGCAGAAAGGAACTGACTCCTCCATAATGGTGTCCAAACTATCGGGAGCTCAGAAAGAGAAGCAAAACAAAACCAGTCACGAGGTCAGGAAACTGGGGGCTCACGTAGTTGAATGTGGGGAGAATTTTCAAACTGTGGGGCAAAGCTTCAATGTCTTCCGTTTACAGATCTGGTTTTCATTCAACAAACATTTATCTATACCTTTGAATTTGCAGGAGTTGGTGCTGAGAGTTGGAAGCCAATCAGTTACTAGTTAAATAGGAACGCCCTCCCTTGGTCAGTGTCCTGAGAACTGAAGTGTAAGGGGCCGCTGGGAGGAGAGGAGACTTGAAACGTAAGGCCTGGCCATTTTATAACTCGAATCATGGGTCTCTGAAACGGATTAATCACTTTCTTTGCTTGTTAGGACTTTCTAATGTCCAGAAAGGGTTGGAGACAGCTCACAACCCAAGCACGTGTTACAGTAGGAGGAGGGAGACTAACAGGATAGGTGCAGAGGTCTGAGGAGTGATGCAGTACCATCAGGCAGGCAGGAGGGGCCACGGACTTGTTCCGTTGAGTTTCAACTTAAATTCTGAGGCTCCATCTCAAAAGACAAGGACAGAGGAGAGAAAGTTCTGAGAGCGCACTCGGTGGAAGACAGGCTTTCTGCAGCCCTTAGCAGTAAAAGCCTTTTCTGATTGAGGTCTCTTCTGGTGGACCCAGAGGATGGAGGGGCCCCAGCGGCACAACCCAAGCAGATCCAACCCAATGCCTAACTGCGTCCTGGTCTCCTCTTGGGGCTTCCCCAATGAAAATGCAGCTCTCTGTTTTCTTTGGAAAGAGGATTAAATGTCTAAGTATTTACTTTTCTGATGTCTGGCTGTATCCAAAGAAAGAACTCGAAGTACCAAGAAGAGTGATGGACTGAATAATTCTGAAATAACCCTTCACAAGGAACTCTTTCTCGCCTAGCCTTTGAATAAGAGTTAGAAGGCATCCGTTCATGGGCTTAGAGAGACCCTATTTTGTGTCATTAATTGAGGGGCGATCCGTAGACTTTAGAAATATTTGAGTACTGTGGAAGGTGAAGGGATCAGAGGCCAAGCCAGGAATTTTTTTCAGGAAACAGTTCGGGGTCCGCCCTTGCCCATGAACAAGTCACAGCTTTATTTTACAGAGAGGGCTCAAGGTGATTTCATCCTGGAAGATTTTCAAAGTCCACCACCCCCTGAAAAAATTCCAGCAATGCTTACACTGTACAGACAGAAAAACCGTGTTTCTCCTAAGCCCCTTGTAGAGTCTAGTATACCTGAAGTCCCTTTATGCTTACCCTGACCCTTCATCTAGGTGACGTATTTCTTCGTCCTGTTTCTTGACATGGAGACAGATACTCAGAGAGTTTAAGAAGTAGAGTCCTAAAATTCTGATCCCACTGAATTTGCCCATTAATCAATCATGTCCTGTTTCTCCCAACTACCGGTACTTAGTGGTATCAAAAGAGTAGCCACGAATGGAAGATTAAGCCGTGGGATGTAGGCTGGATAACGACAGCGTGACCTTCCCCGTCTTCCACCCCACAAACACACACACTGCAGAACGGGCATCTCAGCCTGGACATAAACTGATGTGATTCTCCAGCACTGCAGTGTGGGCTTGAAAATCCTTGCCGGGGCTCAGAATGCATCCTAGCCAGCGGAAGCACTAATCATCCAGCGTAGCACCCGATATTACGAAGTGGATCTCCCTTGAGGAGTATCATACAGTGAGTCATTGGACTGGGTCTCTCTGCCTTGAAACCCATCCCTCCCTTCCGCCTCCCCGACCCCTACACTCCACCACGAGCCTCTGCAGGTTTCTAAGCAGCTTCTTATACCTGAGACAACCAGGTTCTAAAGATAATGCTAAAAAAAAAAAGAAAAGAAAAAAAAATCAGATGAATAGATTATAAGCCCTTTCGTGTAGAGGATTAATTTGAAG